CACACACACACACACACACACACACACACACACACACACACACACACTCTGCTCTGATTAATCTCTGTTTCCAAGTCAGCAAGGCAGCATTCCTTTGGGCGTCTCCAGTAAGTCAAGTGTCCAGGGACATTGGCACAGAGATCAGAGCCCACTAACTACTTGAGCAGTTTTGCCCCGCCAAGTGGAAATTTTTCATGTGATTTCTTATGACCCTTCTCTTCCATTCATCTTCCCAAGGAGGCATTCTGTTGGTCACTGAGCTCCAGACAGACGGCTGCAAACCCACGGAGGGGAGGGGGGGAGGGAAGGGAAGAGAAATGTGGCAGAAGGAAACTAGAAGCACTTAGTAAGGGTAGGATGAAACAAATCTGCCCCTCAAGCTGTAACTTTTCATCCGTTGTGTGCTAGTCCAGAGTGAAGTCTACAAGATACATCTTTTTTATTCCTCCAACAATAGCAATAGGGAACAGAGGGCAAAGGAGACATTCTCTCTTCATTTAGAACAGGTCTCCCAATCTATTGCCTGCCAGAACAAAATTTCTCTCAACAATCTAGATCTGACCATTCCAGTGTTATGAGGAGCAATGAATACCTGGTGCAGGGCTCAGTGTCTAGTACAGGTCTCTGCACCCTATATTTTGGGGGCAGTTGCTATGTACCCAACCCCATGCCAGGGGAAAAGAGAAATATGACTTAGCTCTTCTGTCCTCTAAGAAATTCCAATCTAGTTGGTGAGAGAGGGCTGGACTTGTGAGTCACAAAAATCTGAGTTCAAATTCTGCCTTGGATACTTACTAGCTGTGTGACTCAGGGCAAGTCACTTAACCGATGTCTGCCTCAGTTTCCTCAGCTGTGAAATGGAGATCATAATAGCACCTATCTCCTAGGGCTGCTGTGAGGATTAAATGAGAAAATATATATATAGGGGTCCCTCCAAAATCTTAAAGTGGTCTTAAGCTTTATTGGTAAATGTCTTTGTACTTTGCCCTCTGTATCTTCGGGGCTTTACTAGCTTAAAACTGCTCTAAGACTTTTGGGGACCCTGTATATAAAATGCTTTGTAAACTTTAAAGTGCTTTATAAATGCTAGTCATTATTATTGTAAAGATCAAATAAGATAATATATGTAAAGCTTCCCAAACCTTAAAGCAATACATAATTCTAGCTATTAATATTGAAACATACTTAATGAAACAATTAGAGAGTAGGATGGGAATATATGCAATCAAATGCTAAATTATGTGAAATTGAAAATAATTGCTGTAAGAGTTAGGAAAAGAGAGAGGTCACTGTAGGCTGGAGAGAAAAGAGAACAAACATTTATTAAGCACCTACTATGTGCCAGGTACTATGCCAAGCACTTTGCAAATATTGTCTCCTTTGATCCTCACAACAACTCTGGGAAGTAGGTACTATTATTATGCCCATTTTACAGATGAGGAAACTGAGGCAGAGGTTAAGTGACTTGCCCAACATCACACAGTAAGTGTTATGAGGCCAGGCTTAAACTTAGATCTTCCTGATTCCAGGTCCAGCTCTCTATCCACTGTACCACCTAGCTGCCTAGTCCAGGCCAGGAAGACTTCATGGAAGAAGAAGAGCTTGAGTTGGTCCTTGAAGGATGGGTAGATCTTGAAAAGGCAAAGAGGAAATATATCTACTGTATAATTTTGTTCAGTTCTAAGAACCACATTTAATTCAACTTTTTTCTTTGTTTTCATACAGTTAATTTTTTTAAAAAATGATTAATTTGTACTGACCTTTTCTTTTTTATAACCACTTCATCTCCCAACATGTTTCCCTACCCCATATCCAGTAAATTATCCTTTTGCAAAACAGAAGAAGGGGTGGGGGTAAAGGTTAAAGAAAAGGCAACTCTGGGTCAGCTAGGTGGCACAGTGGATAGAGCACTGGCCCTGGATTCAGGAGGACCTGAGTTCAAATCCAGCCTCAGACACATATCACTTACTAGCTGTGTGACCCTGGGCAAGTCACTTAACCCCCACTGCCTAGCCAAAAAAAAAAAAGAAAAGAAAAGGCAACTCAGCAAATTTCACCAATATCTCAATGGAGTTGGAAAAGTATATGCAAGATTACACACCCATAGTCCCCTTCCATGTCAAAGAAGTCAAGAAGGCATATTTTTCTTTCCCTCTTTTAGGACCAGGCTTGATGAAGTATCACATTTTAGGAAGGACACTGGCAAACCCAAACACTCCCAGAGGAGGGCAACCAGGTGTTTGATGGACTTCAAGGCCATTGGATGTGAGTTTCACTTGAATGAACAAGAACGAAGGCAGCTTAGCACAATGGAAAGATTGCTGACTTTGGAGTCAGAAGACCCAGATTCAAATACTGGCTTCTTCCTGGCTGTTTAACCTTGGACAAATCACTTAACATCTCTGGGCCCCAGTTTTCTCTTTCATAAAATGAGAGGATTTGGCTAGATGTCCTCTAAAACCCCTTTCAGCCCTCAATACATGATCTGATGACTTCAGTGGGCTTTAGTTTTCTTATCTGTCAAATGGGAGAATTAGACTAGCTGAATTCTATGGTTCCTTCCAGCCCTCGATCCATGACCCCATGACTTCACTGGGACTCTGTTTCCTCATCTCTATTGTGAGAGGGTTGGACTAGATGATCTGCAAGGCTTCCACACAGCTCTAAGCTCTCTGATTCTATCGCTGTCTTCAATTATTCAAAAGGTCCTCAAGAGCAGGGGTTAGATTTTTTCTGCTTGATACACCCTAAGCCAGAGATCAAAGAAAGAGGAAAGGGGCCCATATATACAAAAATATTTCTAGCATCACTGTTCAGAGTAGCATGAAACTGGCAGATAAGGAGGCTGTCCACATATTGGGAAATAGCCAAGCAAATTATGGTACATGAATGTAATGGAATATTATTACTCCACAAGAAATAATAACATGGATAATTTCTGAGGTAATTAGGAAAACTTGTGTTTGAACTGATGCAGAATTGAATAAGGAGAAGGAGGAAAACCGATACAATAACAGCATTGTAAAAACAATAATTAGAAGACTTGAGAACTCTCATCAATGGGTGACCAACCCAATGAATTCCAGATGACCAAGGATAAAGCGTGTTATCCACCTCCCGTCACAGAGGTCGTGGTCTTAAAATGCAGTATGAGACAATGTTTTTAGACATGGGCAATGTGGGAATTTGTTTTGTTTGCCCAGGCATATTTGTTATGAGGGTTTTTTTTTCTTTTTTTGTTCTGTGGGGTAGGGTGGGAGTCAACTGTCAGCCTAGAGCCTATGGGAAACAGTTTCAAAAAAATGTTACCTTGGAAGAGACACATTCAGCAAGATTCTAACAGGTAGTGTTGTTTAAATGGAAAAGCTAGGAGAAGGAGAAAAAAAAATGGATACTTTCTAAATGAAAAAAAAAATGACCCAATTAAGTTTTTAAAAATTTATTCTGCTTGGTACCAGAGGTCAGAACTACAACCAATGGATGAAAGTGGCCAAGAGGCAAATTTCAGTTCAATGGAAGGGGAAATTCAGGCTGCCCCAAAGTGAAATGGACTGCCTGGGGAAGTAGTGGCTTCCCCTCTCCCTGAAGGTCTTTGGGCAGAGGCTCATTGGGCATGTTGCAGATGGCATTCTTCTTTAGCTGTGTTTTGGGCTAGATGACCTCTGAGGTCCCGTCTAACTCCGAAACTGTATGATTCTGTGAGGGAGTTAGGCATTGCAAATAGAGTTGTTGTTGTACAATCGTGTCTGACATTTTGTGACCCCATTTGTGGTTTTCTTGGCAAAGATACTGAAGCATGGGGTTTTTTTTTGCCATTTCTTTCTCCAGCTCATTTTACAAATGAGGAAACTGAGGCAAACAGGGTTAAGTGATTTGCCTGTCGTCACACAGCTAGTAAATGTCTGAGGCCAGATTTAAACTCATGAAGATGAATCTTCCTGACTCCAGGCCCCCATCCACTGTTCCACCTGGCTGCCCATTGCAAATAGAAGGAACCAGATAAATAAAGAATGGAAGTGGGGAAGAGCAAAGGAAGTGGGCTTGCTAACAGATAATCTTTATGCAACCGCAAGCAAAATGTTTATGAAGCACATTTCTGCACCAAGTCCTCCATATTCCCCACCCAGGACACTCTCCAATGTTCTGCCACCATTTCCCCTTTCTGAGAATTTGTGTAACACCAAGTTCTCTCAAGGAAGTAACACCATGGAAACTTGGCCATGAGAACCTGTCCTCCGAGTGACGGTTAATGGCTTCCTTTTATTTGAGCCAATCATTTGGCTCTTTTCCAGTGGATAGTTCTTGGATTCAGCACCCTGTGAAAATTGGGAACTCAACAGCAGATTTGTCCAGTGAAATCAAGGTTCGTGACTTCCCTGGGAGCATTTCTCATTTAAAGTTGAAGGTGGAAAGAACACTGGACCTGGGCTCAGAACCTGCCTATACATGTCACCTGTGTGACTCTGATCAAGTCACTTCCTCTCCCTGGAACTCAGTTTCTTCATCTGTAAAATGAGAGATTTGAGCTAGATGACCTCTTTATGCTCTTCCAACTTAAAATGGAAGCACAACTCATAGATCATCTTGGAAACTGGAACCTAGGACTTGTCATACTAGAAGACTTCCTCTCCCACTTTTAACATTTTAAGCCCATGTGTAGCCCTTAAAAATCAAAATAAAATAGTGAGACAGATTCAAAGATTTTCAGAAACTCATTTGGGAAGAGCACTGGCCTGGCAGACTGGGACTTAGAAAACCTGAGTTCTAGACTTGCACCTGTTTCTAACTTGCTATGTGGTCTTGGGTCAATCACTTAACTTCCCTGAGCTCCAGCTCTCTCACTTACAATGTGATATACATACGTGTGTATATATATATATATATATATATATATATATATATATATATACACACACACACACACACACACACACACACATACACACACACATTATATATATACATATATGTGTATGTATGTATTTATATGTATTTATATGTATATATGCATGTGTGTATACATATAGGTATATATACACTTATAGGGGTATATTATATATATGTATGTGTATATAGGTACACATATATGCATATATAATTGATACATAATTAATCGATCAATGTGCATTTATTAAGTGCCTACTATGCCAAACATAGTGTCAGGCACTGGGATTACAAAGACAAAAGTGAAGATAGTCCCTGCTCCCTAGCTAGGGTAATGACCTAGTCATGCAGAAAGCATAATCTCCAGGGTCCTTCAAGCTCAGAGACTGGATTATTCAGATCAGTTCTAATCATTTCACCAAGTCATTATTGAGCATCTACTTATGTATAGATTGCAGAAGTGTGCTAGGATCCAAGCCCTTGCAGAGTTTATAATCTCATCAGGGTGACAAGGTTTAAAACAGCAATGCGAGCAAGGAAGTATTGAATATAAATGAACATTTAGAGCCTGAGAACCTGGATTTTAGTTCCACTTCAAGAGAGATTGCACTTGACCTTGGGCTCTCAGACCAGTTCTGGACCTCTGGTTTCATCTGTCCAAGAGTGGGTACCTAGCATCATAGATTGTGAGCTGGAAAGGACCTAAGTAAGAGTTTATCTAATCCAACCCATCTTATATTTATAGATGAGGAAACTGAGACCTCTAGAAAGATTAAGTGACTTGCCTGAAGTCATACAGGTAGTAAGAGGCAGAGCAGTGATTTGAACCTAGTCCTTTGTTGCCAAATCCACTGTTTTAAATTTTTTTCCAAAGTTTTTTCAAAGATCTTAGGCTCTTAAATGCCAGAATGAATGGAGATGTACCACTGTTGCCTACTGTTTCCCTTTCTTTAACAAAGACTATTTTTCGCTCTTCTGCTCATAGGCGCTGCTTCAGAAAGACCTACCTCTCCCTTTGTCCATTACTTTCCATGACCAAGTTCCACTGTCATTATGACCTCATTCGTAGCGCTGTGCTAAGAAGTCATTTCTAGGAACACATGGTGTTTAAAAGCTGGGACAACTTAGAGACCCTTCTGAAGGTCTTGGTGCTAATGTGAAGGAAGGGGAGGGACAAACGGCTGAAAATCAAGGTAATTAAAATCAGCAAGCTTTTATTATGTCCCTACTACACAGAAGGAACAAGGCTAGGTACTGGAAATGCCAAGAAGAAAATAAAATGGTCACTATCCTCAAGAACACTCTGGGAGAAGACCATAGTGAGCCGATGAATATAAAATGTAAATAAAATAAATGTTGCAAAATTGAAGAGTGGGGCAGAAGAACTTCCAACAAGAGAGTTATCAAAGGTCTCAAAGGAGGTGGCTCGTGAGCTGTACCTTGCAGGAAGCTTTTCTCATCTTGTGTGACCATGGGCAAAGCATTTAACCTCAGTTTCCTCATCAGTAAAATGGGGATCATAAAACCTGTTGAATCCTCTTCAACAAAGCTGTTGTGAAGGTTAAATAAGAAAATGTATGTGAATAACTTTGTAAACCCTACCATGATAGTAACGAGGATAATTTTAAGCAATGTTACATAGTAGAAAGAATAATGAACCAGGCCTGGGTTTAAATCTCAGCTCTGCTAATTCTAAGCTCTGTAACATTGAGCAATTGTTATCTTAAGCAATGTGGTATAGCAGAAAGAGTGGAGAATCAGAAAAGTCTTGAGTTCAAATCTCAGCTCTGCTCCTTATGAACTCTGTGGATAAGACACACCATCTTTCTAAGCCTCAGTTTCCTTATTTGTAAAATGAGGGAAATGAAATAGATGCCCTCTGAGGTCCTTTCTAGCTCTTCTTAATCCTTATTATCAAGCAGAACAAGAAACTATTTTCCTGGTGAAAGCCCAAACCACTGGAGTTATCTGCCATGCCATGAGAAGGAAATTGTGAGGTCTCGATGACATCTTGGAAAGAAGGGGAAAGATCTGGCTTATTCCTAAGAGGACAAAGGAGGAGGAGGGGGTCCGATGAACACATTAATGTCCTTCATGAGCAACTTTCAAAAGGGAGTCAGTGAGAGAGCCAAAGACAAGTTTAGAAAGACCACAAACAAAAGCTTGGATTGTTGGGAAATGGAACCTTTTTTAGAAGCCTTCAAAGCCACTCTTTGAAAAACCCTGGCATGGACACAGTATCGAGCCTGGGGAAAGGCCAAGCCTGGCCTGAATTCATAATTGCCAAACTGTTTGTTGCCTTTATTTGCCAAGACTTACTAATTGAACTTTTGTAGGTCTGGCTTGCCCATAGGAGAATTGGAGCTATTGTTTGGCCCATAGTGTGCATGAGTGGTTTCTTCCACCTGAGGCAGAAAGTCAAAACTAAAGATCTGATTAACTCAATTCTATTCCGTATTGGTTAAGTAACTGGTATGTGCCAGGCACTGTGCTGGGGCTACAAAGACAAAAACCCCAAAATATTCATTAGATCAAAAATTTAGAAATGGAGGCAATTGTGGAGATCAACCAGTCCAATACTACCATTTTACAGATGAGGAAACAGGTGCAGAAAAGTTAAATCAGGGCTTCGGGTTTTCATAGACCCCTTTTGGCAGTCTGGTGAAGCCTGTGGACCCCTTCTTAGAATAATGTTTTTAAATGCATAAAATAGTAGAGGTGGGAGATGACACGTGGCATTTGGGAAACAACCAGTGGGCCAGTTTGTCTGGAACAAGAGTGCATGAGGGGCTGCAATATGAAATTAGTCCAGAGAGATAGATACAAGGCAGCTGGTAGGGCAAATCCATCTTCATTTCCCGGTTTCTTTTATGGCCCCCACCAATGCCCAAATCAATTGGGTTGATATTATAGCTAAGTCCATACACAGAGTAAAGAAGAATGGTTTTTCTTTGTGGCCATGTAGAGGGCAAATTAGGGAATGCCTGAACACATTATAATGTGTGAATGCAATGGAATATTATTGACAAAAGGGATAATTTCAAAGAAACCTGGGAAGACTTATATGAACTAAATAGAGGGAAGAGGGCAAAACCAGGACAACAATTCATAAAAAGACAGCAACAGATTGGAGAATGGCTGAATACACAGTGTATAAATGCAATGGAATATAATTTTTACTAATGTATTTTTATTGCATTAAATATTTACCAATTACATTTTTAAAAAATTTTAACATTCATTTTGAAATTTTGAGTTCAAATTCTTTCCCTACCTCCCCCACCCTTTGAGAAGGCAAGCAATATAATATCATTTTTGCATGTGAAGTCATGCAAAGTGTATTTCTGTATTAGCCATGTTGCAAAAAAAAGAAAGTTTTTTTTTAAAAGTATGCTTTGATCTGCTCTCAGAATTCATCAGTTCTCTCTCTGTAGGTGGATAGCATTTTTTTATCCTGGGTGCTTTGGAATTGTCTTGGACCATTGTCTTGATCAGAGTAGCTAAGTCTTTCCCAGTTGATCATTACTACAATATTGCTGTTACAGTGTACAGTGTCTCCTGGTTATGCTGTTCTGCTGACTTAACTTTGCATCAGTTCATATAAGATTTCCCAGATTTTTCTGAAACCATCCTGTTGGTCATTTTTTTTACAGCACAATAGTATTGCTGTGGGATATTATTGATATAAATGGCAGTTTCAGAGAAACCTGAGAAGACTTGTATGACCTGATGTAGAGGGAAGTGGGCAGAACCAGGACAACACTGGTCTGGAATCAATTACCATATTTTTACATAATTATAACTTCAAATAGTGTGTATTTGAAGACAGTGTGTTGGAGTAGCGTGGGATTTGAATAGCAATTCTCTTGTTCCAAGGCTCTACTCTTTTCACCATACCACCAGCGCTAGCCAGACCAGGGAGCATCATTGTTTTTCTAGGGGAAGTTGTTGTTTACTCTATGCTTGAGACAGGCTTGCACAGATCAAGTGCATCAGAGAAAAGTGTCTGGAATGATTTAGGTTCATTCCTGCCACTATCATTCCGGAGAGTGGCAAATCTCAGATTTTGTATCATCAACCATGCCAAAGAGGAATTCCAAGACGTCGGGGCAATCAGGAAACTGTTTGTTATGGTGGAAAACTTGCTGGGCTTTAAGTGATTGGATATGGGTTTGATTTCTGGCTCTGGTTCATCTTGTGTGACCTTAGACAAATTCCTTTCCCTTTCTGATCCTTGAGTGTTTCATTTATAAAAATGATTCAGCGTATTAGATGACAGCTAAGAACTCTTCTGGCTCAAAATCTAGGATCTGGTGAATTTCCTCTTGAGGATTGATGTTAGGAGATTAGGGAGGAGTGAGGAAAAGCATCCTTGCAATTATAAATAGCCCAAGTTGAAATAGGTTGTCTTCTGGGTCGTGAGTGACCTTTCCTCACCATATCAAAACCTGGATGACCATTTATCAAAGTTTTTTTTTAAGGGGATGGGCTCTGTGCTTTCTTTCAACTTTGAAATTCAGGGTAATTTATATGAAATAAAAGCTAAAGACTGGGAGGGTGAGAAAGAAAGCTTGGCACCAGTGAATTCGGGATGTGAGGCTCTGGAAGAGAAATTCGTGGCTTTTGACGCCTTTTCAGATGTAATTGTCCAAATCCATCGATATTCACTCCCACCACACCCTGGCCCCTATTAGTAGATTGCCTCCCATGAGAAAAAACAAATACTTTTCCATTTCCTGGTCCTGAATGAGATGAGTGACAGCTGTCAAGTGAGCTTGGCCCATAGGGGCTTAACAAATAACCAGCTACACGTTTTTCAGGTTTATTGGAAATTGTCCTGGTGGAAAACAAACAGGGTTGGTGTGAAGCCTATTAGGGAAGGAACTCTGAACAAAGACTCCATTTGGCAGCTGTTGTTAAGAGCTAAATGGACTAAGGAAGAGCCTGTTAAGCAAATATTAAAGGAACCTAACTGAGGCAATTAAGATGAAATTAAATAAAGGAAGATTTTAGATGGAGGTTCATGGAAATTTTCCACCCCAGTGTCAGTCAAGAGGTCTCACACAGAAGGGCAAGCACCAACTTAGCCTTAAGGGCTTTGCAATAAGGAGGACTCTGGGAAACAGGTCTGAGAAATAGACCCAGTCATTGTGTTTGCCAATGGAAAAGATGTGTAACATTTTTCAGGCTTGAGATTCAGTTTCCCATCTCCATGCCTTTGCACAGGCTGTTTCTTCCCCATCCCTTGCTTGAAACGTTCCTCCTCCTCCTCCTCCTCCTTCTGCTCCTCTTCTTCTTTCTTCTCCTCTTCCTCCTCCTCCTTTTCCTCTTCCTCCTCACTACAAGGCAAGTACAGTGCTGAACCTGGAATCAGGAAGACCTGAGTCAAAATCTGTCCCAGACACATACTAACTGTGTGACCCAAAGCAAGTCTCTTTACTCCTCTGTGCCTCAGTTTCCTCATCTGTAAAGTGAGAACAATTAAAGCGCCTACCTCCTAGGGTTATTGTGAAGATCAAATGAAATAATAGCTGTGAAGTGCTTCATAAATGGCAGCCATTAGCTATTGCCTCCTGGAATCTCTACCTTTTTTCAAGGCCCAGTTCAAGGGCCCTTTCCTGATTTTCTCAGTTTCCCCTGCAGATTACTCTCTTGACCTCTTGTTTACTTGCCTGTGAATATGTTGCTTTCCTCCAAGTAGAATGTAAGTTCTCTGAACACAAGAATTGCTTTGCTTTGGTGTTTGGATGGCCAGCACCTAGCACAGTAGCTATCTCATAGTAAGGGCTTAATCAGCACTTACCAAATTGAACCAAGAGTATAAACTTTAGGAGAAGTGTAGGGGTTGGGGAATGAGTGGTGAGAGCAGACCAGAAGCAAATGTATCTACCAAGACTACATTTTCTTGTAAAGACCCCTTTCCCCCGTGGAAATGTAATAATAATAGGCTTGGTTTTTGGGGGGTTTTTTTGTTTGTTTGTTTGTTTGTTTTTCACTAAAATGAGAAGCAGTATGGAGTAGTGGCTAGACAGCTGGACCTGACCCTTGAAAAAGGTGGGTTCATGTCCTCCCTCTGAGACACATTACCTGTGTGGCCCTTGGCAAGTCACTTAACCTCCAGGTGCCAAATGGCCAGTTCTCTAAGACTGAAACTTTCGGAGAAGGTACTGACTTTGCATCAACAGAGAGAGTTTCCTTCCCCAAGAAACTCCATCTACCAGTGAAATTGAAGGCCTACTCCTCTCTATTTATTAAGCACTTACATCACAGTCATTTCAGTCTTACAAAAGCTTTATGATATAGATGGCCCATTTTCCAGATGAGGAAACAGCCTTTTAAAGCAGCAAAGGATCAATGATGAAGCATCCTACCCACCTCCTTACAGAGAGGTGATGGATTTAGGGTGTAAAATGAGATGGGTATTTTTGAACATAGTCCATGTGGAAATTTATTTTGCTTAACTATTTATATTTGTTACAAGGGTTTTGGTTGTCTTTTTTTTTCCAATTGGAGGAAGGTAGATGAGAGAGAAAACAATTGTAAAACAGTTTTAAAGATTAGCAAATTCACTAAGCTATTTAGTGGTTACCAGAAGAATTTGAACCCAGGGCTTCCTAACTCCAAGTCTAGCCTATTACTCACTATGCCTCACTGTACAGGGCTTCATAAATACTTTTGCATTGGTTGATTGCATCTAATTTGTGCATTCATGGTATCTGGTTTAAAAAGCATATTTCTCATGCATCTCAGGCAAGGTCCAAAAGAGCAGACATTTAGGATCACAGAGGCTGGGAACTGCCTGACATTCAAAACGTTTTAGAAGAATACTTAGAGAGACGCCCTCCAAAGTGCCCACCACCTGCCAGTCTAGCATCCTATGATTTAATCTAATCCTTTTGTTTTTTATAGATAAGGAAACCCACCAATGGAAAGAGGCAAGTTACTTGCTCAAAATCACACAATGAGTAAGTAACAAAACTAGGAAGCCAAAATGGCATGGCCCAGTTCCACTTGACAAAAACTGCCCAAACAGAAGGAAGAATCAGATGAGGAGTCAGAAAAATGGACCATAAGGGGCAGCTAGGTGGCGCAGTGGATAGAACTCCGGCCCTGAAGTCAGGAGGACCTGAGCTCAAATCCAGCCTCAGACCAAACACTTGACACTTACTAGCTGTGTGACCCTGGGCAAGTCACTTAACCCCAATTGCCCTAAAAAAAAAAAGAAAAGAAAAGGAAAATGGACCATAAACCAGGCATGGAAATATGATATTGTAAGAATAAGGGATGTCTATTATCCAGATAAATACCAGAACTTTCTCTGTGAGGAAAAAGGTAGAACAGCAGATACATTTGTAAATTGTCTTAAAGATAATTTCATCCTTTAAGAGGTGGAGAAAATGATGTTCTGGACCCCAAAATAACCATAAAAGGGGGTTGGTTGGTGAAATAGCAACAGGAGTCCAAGAGGCCAAAGAAAACTCTATCATAAATCAATACTGTGCCTTCCAATGATTGCAAAGGATCAATGATGAAGCATCCTACCCACCTCCTTACAGAGAGGTGATGGATTTAGGGTGTGAAATGAGATATTTTTGAACATAGTCCATGTGGAAATTTATTTTGCTTAACTATTTATATTTGTTACAAGGGTTTTGGTTGTCTTTTTCTTACCAATTGGAGGAAGGTAGACGAGAGAGAAAACAAATTTTATTTTTGAGAAAATGTAATACAATTTTAAAAAGAAAAATCCTTCATCACAATGATATAGAAATAGAGGAAAACAAGGCATAGGCTGATATGAATCCTGTATTTGAGGGGGACAAATTTCAAAAGAGAGATAAGAAACAATGGCTGAATACAATGCAATGGAATTGAGCTTTGAAGGGAAGTTGTTTTTAAAAATTTAACTCTGGGGGCAGCTAGGTGGTGCTGTAGACAGAGCTCCAGCCTTGGAGTCAGGAGGACCTGAGTTCAAATCAGACCTCAGACACTTGATATTTACTAGTTGTTCGACCCTGGGCAAGTCACTTAACCCCGATTGCCTCTCCAAAAAAGAAAAAAAAAATTCAACTCCAAAAACAGAAGCAGAAATAATTCCAACTCAGTTCAGTTCAATAATTGTTCAGGAAGCACTTCTTATTTTCGAGGTACCCTAT